CCTGCACGTGCCAAAATAACCTTTTTCAACCTGACTGCAAGACGTCAGAAATCACCTTGTTTGGAAAAGCGCGATTTATTCCAGAAAAACAAATAGAGGCCGGTGTTTATTTGCAGGAAAACAGTGTGAGTGAAATCGGGGAGTTTTGTGCGGTTTTTGAGTGCTTGTTTTTTTCAGCATTTGGAAGAGGTGACTTTTGGTGTTGCCATTTTCAAATTTGACTCTTTAAAGCTTGGAACCCGATAGCTTTCCTACACGAATCGTTCAAAAGGGAACATTTCATTTTTTTTGCCACAAATTTCACGCTCTGGAAAATTGTAAACCGAATGTGCGTTTTGGTTTTTTGAGTCGTTTTGCTGTACCTTCCAAAGTCCCAATGTTCAGTAGCAAAACCCAGTCTAAACATGTAAAATAAAGGCCTGGGTAACTCCCTGGGGAATTTTTTAAATTCCGGTTTCTTTACGGAGTCTTTTATGCAAGAAAATTAAGAGATCGATTTTACAAGAAAACTCGTCGTCTTTATAGTTTGGTCTTCTTTATCGTCTTTTTCAAAAACCCGTTTTGCCTTTGAATTTAGGACAAAAAAGCAATAAAGTTCTCTTGTTTTTTTTCGAAAAAATTTAAGTTTTCCCAAAAATCGCCCAGAGAAACAAAATCATATAATGAACTATTTGAAAAACTCGGCACCCTCATCGCCCAGAAGCATTTTCAAGTTTCTTCAAAATTTCCATTTTTGCCCATTTTAAACCAAATATGTTGCAAAAAGAGTTGGCGCAGTGCTGCGCAAATTGCTTGGTGCGCCAACCCAACGCACCAAGCAATTGAAAAATCATGAAAAATGTTGATAACTTTTTTTGGATGTTGAAAGTCCAGTCTCGGTCATCGATAAACGAGTCATAACTCAAAGAGCGGCAACAACTCAAAAGCGCAACCGAACACAGTGTTACCCGTAAAATACACGGTGGCCTTAACATATTTATGCTTGCCAATTCGATAGATTTTCTTGAACAGTTTTCGAGCATTTCTGCCACTGTAAACCGATTCAGTTTGCGTACAACCCTGTATAAGTGTTGTTGGGGCCGATGAAAAGTGCCACTGTTTTACAGATAAAAGGGGGACGTTGAATTAGTGGCATTTACATGTACCTGCACCTGTCTTGAATTATTCAACGGTACAATAGGAAATATTTTTGTGTAATTATGAGTATTCTTCGCCCCGGTATTGGAGGTAATCATAATTTAATTGCTTGGGCAGGTGATGCTAATAGTCTTTTTACGCGAGTGATTGCGTCCGACTAGTAGGGAAAGGACACTCGGTGGTTGATTGGTTCGATTCAATCATCATCACTTACCTATTGGGAGAACGTTGAAAGTTTCACCAGTTTCATATAAGTATGCAAATTGGCGTCTTAATTACAACGTCGTAAAATGGGTGCCATCCACAGTGCGGCGCAATATGAGTTTGGACTATTAAGCGAGTATGAAACGGGTTCCGTAACCAGCCGGAGAGTAATCACGGATAATTGGAATTTACTGATTTAACTGCTCGACTAATAATCGATGCATCGGCCAAATGGCACAGGGATCTCGTCGGAATAATCATCCTCTACTAATAATTACAATTAAAAATCGCCTCTGGTCCCAAAACCGGATTCCTCTTTAACGCAAACTGAGCCGAAATAAATAAGGCTTAGCCATTCTAATGGCAATTTATCGCTTAAAAACACCATAATTAAATATAAACGATGCTACTATTTCGGCAGGACAATGATCTCCTCCTATTTTTGTAGACGAATATTTCGCCAAAACACGTTTAGTGTGCTTCTTTATGACACACCCGGTATAAATTTGAAGAGTTCACCATCGGTAATTATTCAAATAAAGCCCGACCACACGATAATCAATTCCTGGCCGTCTAATTCGCAATTAATTCGAAAAAACTGGTATGTTTGTTATGTACCGGTACCAGTTACAAATCAATTTGTTTTTTTTCGCTGTCTTGAAATGTGGCCGTTAAGGTGATTTACGACAATGAAATGGTGGAAATCCACTCATCCACTGGGTCGATTTGTGCAGATGAAGAGCCGAACTAGTCGTAATGTTTGGTTTTACGGGAATCGAACTTTCCCCAAATGGCACCTGCATCCCAATCAAGCGAAATTGTCGATTAAAATCGTCATCAAACCACAATCCCGCTATTCATTAAGCAGGAGATGCGTTTATTAATTTTGTGGCTAAACCTGAAAGTTTTGCTCAATTTCCTTCACTGGTTAATTCATATGCGATTGTTGCGCTAAAGTATTTAATTTGTGTTTTTGTGTCCTAATCAGTGTCTAATCTAAGACACTGTTCTTGTTCTTTGCAATCCAAAATGCTTTTCCTCCATTTCTTGGCTCTCCTAAGTTCCTTTGTATATTAAATTATCGAACAACTGAAATAAAACAGTTGGAAATTCGATAGTTATACCGAATAAGTCAAAATCGCAGCGCCAATTTGAATAAATAAGCGATTAGCATTTAATAAGGCTCTAAAAACGATACTATTACACTAGGGAAGACACGGCGATAAATTTTACCGACATTCCGAAGTTTATTATATAAATATATTAAATTTACTATGCTAATTGGAAGGCATTTGCAGTGCGTCCAATCAACCCTGCCCAATAGTTCAGGGAAGCGCTCCAATGGACGTTTCTGCGAAATTTTCGATAGGAATCAGACAAATTGTTGTCGGCTAAAAAGGCCAAGAGTGCGAATGATGGAAAATCCATTGGCCAGTTTAATGGCAATCATTAAACATAATCTGATAGCTAAAAATCGTCATTTTCATCCATCAGTCGCTTTAATTGCAGCGCATTTCCATAATTACTCCTATGTTTGGCCTCTGAGTTTTATGAGCGCATGTGGCGAGACTTATTTAGCGAAATTTGCTCAATCGCAATAATGAAAAATTCCCTTCGAGAGCAAATCGACTGCAAATGATATGCATATATCAAGATTATGTTTTGATTTATTCGACTTAATATACCTCTATGTCTATGGGCCGCACACCTACAAAGCCGCCTAACTGGAAACGGCAATTATTAAATAATACCCATTTCTAATTTACATAATGAAAAACTGATTTTATCTCAAAAATGATAATAAATATTATATGCGCGTCGTTTCCAGCTAACGGTCTCCAGGCCAGGAAATCTTTATGTCCATCTTTTATTAACCGGCCCTTGAATTCAAACCAAACACGTTTTTCCTATTCGTGAAACGTTTCGTTTCTGTGCATTAAGGCCAGCATCAAGGTGCGAACGCAATCACCATATTCACAGTTTAATGTCAAATAACAAAGCAAATTCATGCTGTTTGGATGGTGCGACATTTACAGCCTTCTGTTCAGTGACATTATCTAATCTTCATTCTTCAAATGTGCGAACACCACAAAGACATGTTTAATTGCCTTGTAACTAATCATAAACCTTGTGGACATCTTCACTTTAATAACACTGCTAATTGCGCCAGTTTGCGACAAAAGCTCATTGTTGTTGGATGATTGTTGACCAATGTGAAGAATAAGACGGGGTTTTGGATTTGAAGAGTTGCCAAAATTGTTTTTTTGTGACTATTCAACTAGTTCCAACCTACTCAAATCGTATTTGCTTTTTCAAACATTGTTCTCTACTCGGTCAATCCGCGTTTTATGTGCCTCTAAATGGCGCAATTTTGGGACCCTTTTGAGATGCAAATGTGCAAAAGTTGGGCACTTTTTTGTCCTCTTTTGAAAGAAAATCTTTCTCTCGGATTGTTTGATTTAACTAATTTTGGCAACTAGTCAGGCCGGGTACTTTCGAGATCGAACTTTGAATGTTCGAAGGCACTTAAATGGATCAAAATTTTCGTGTTTTTGCTCAAAAGCCGGTGTCTAAATTTAACTCAAAACCCTCCGTTTTAGCACAGCAATCGAGGCCTGGGTAACTCAGTGCATTGTTAGGAGTTGGCGCAATGCTGCGCAAATGGCTTGGTGCGCCAACCCAACGCACCGGCGCTCAGCTCGGTTCCTGGTAAAACGTTACTCATGGAAAATGTTGTTGACTTCTCTTAGACGTTAAAATTCCAGTCTCGGTCATTGGTAAACGAGTTATAACTCATTAAGCGGTGCGTTAACACTCATTAACTCAGAGAGCGGCAACATCTCAAAAGCGCAGCTCAACACAGTGTTACCCAGGCCTGAATCCAGGGTTTGGCATTCATTTGCCCAGAAACCAGTTAAGCTGCACAATTCACTTTCGAGTGCATTTTGTAGGCCAAAATATGTGCAAAAAGATTCGATTTTGAGTCACCATCAAGCAATTGTTGAGAAGTTTTTGAGTGCGCTTCTGAATGGCATGTTTTGAGGCCGAAAATTGCTGCTAAATTTTACTTTGAACGAGTTGAAACATGTGCGGTTGTACAAATGTGAATGACAAGGTGGTTTTCGGGTTTAAAAGGTAACAAAACTAGCTGATTACGACTCGTTCCTCGTCACTGACCCTAACGAACACTTCCTACCTTAAACAACACATCCATATTCAAATAGTTGGGTATCTCGATACGAAATCTAATCGTCGTCTTCATCTCGCACCTAATTGCCGCATCTGTCGTGGCAGGCGTCCGTCCGTTGACCGCCGGTTCCGGCTGTTTCCGTTTTCCCCAACCCTTGCAAGCAAGCTCTCTTTCCCCCCGTCAGACGAAACTGTGGCGAAATCAACCCCCCCAGAGCCGTTGATTTTTCGATTTTTGCTGCAGTGACTGCCAGTCGCATTCGGTTGGCTATCGGCAATCATTTCATTAGTATTTAACGGCATCTCTAATCATTTCCCATCGTTCACAGGTGTGAATCGTTCAATTTGCCCGTCGTACCATGTGGGGTTTTTTCCGAAGAATATAATAACAACTTGCAACTTCAACGTTGCATCGCAAATAATTGAGTTGGAAAGGTCGCGAGTTTATTTACAAAAGGCCTCAAATTAAATAAATATATTTACAATTTTTCCTGATTACTCACTTGATTCCCCACCTTCAGTGGGGACTGACTCGAGTAGTCCTTTGTATTTGGATGTGCGACTAGAAACATTGTTCAGCATTTCACTCACTTGTAGAGGTTTACCGGTTGAGGTTCAGAAGGTCCTTCAAAGCGGCGATGTATGACTGGGCCATTTGGAGCGTCTCAAACTTGCTCAGTTGCTTCTCAGCGTCCAGATTTGGGATCACTTGGCGCAGCCGGTCGAAGGCTTCATTCAGGCTGGATATCACCAACTAATGACACTTTTTCTGATACATTTTCAGTGTAAACTTACCCGTTCATCCGGCGTCTTTCACGCGCATTGGCCGCCAGCCGTCTCTTCTTCATTACAGTTGGGGACACCCGCTGCTCAGCTCGCACGCTCCGTTTCCGTTTTTTGCCCTTCTTCTGCCCAGTGTCTCTTGGCTGCTCCTCCTCCTCCTCCTCCTCCAGTGTGGAGCTGGTCCTTTTCAAGGTGAAAAAATTGAAATTCCCTGCAAAACATCCTACTCCAGCTGGGGTTCAGAGGCGCTTTCCTGCACATACCGTAGTCCGACACCAAAGAGGAAGTTGAAAGGAAGGAGTCGTAAGTGTTGCTGTCGTAGAAATCGGGGGTGCGCCGAGGAATTTCCGGGGCCAAATTCATCATTGCGTCTTCGACGCGGATAAATCCGGTCTGCATGCTGGCCGATCTGTTGTAACCGTCATGCTGATAGCAGAAGTCTTTGTGGTGGTGATTGAGGCTCAGATGCGCGTCTGAGTGGTAGAATGGCTTCATTATGTCCATGGCACTCGCATCCACGCACTCAATCGCACGTGCCGAACGGCAAAAAATACACCGAGCACTAGATCGAACGATGACCCATGCGGAAATAAAAGAGGCCCATGAGGAAGGGATGGGACTGACCTGCCTTTGGTCGCGTGCCGCCGCATACCATCCGTTATCTTGATGGAACCACCCCAGATACCGGGGGAATTTCAAAACAACTGCTTCCATTCACCCCTCAGGTTTGCGGTCGTTTTTACCTCTTTTCCATACAATTGTGCTAAACGATCGGTTAAAATGAGTGTGGAGTTTGCCGTTGTGAAGGCTTCTTCCAATGCTCTTTTGGCAGGAGTGAGTGAGAATCACGCGACTCTTAGAGTGAGTTTTTCAGTTTCACTAGATGGATTTTGAGGTTTCGTTTGCCTCGTTGATGGGAGAGTCTGACCAGGTTTCACTGTTCAAGAGAGGTGAAGTGGAGTTTTGTAGTACAGTAGACAGAAACTTTAAGTTCTACACTTTTGCGCAAAAAAACTCGATTTGTTTATTATCAAGTAAAATTTTTCTAAAATATTATTATTGACTTTAATATCTGGCCTTTTTTCTTTTCCGTCGGTGGTGGAGAAATCGATTGGTTTTAAACAGTCTGCGCAATGGAAAGTTGAACTTTTGGGCCTTCTTTCGACTCGCACTTTTTCTGTAGATGGAAATTTTCACTTTCGACCTGCAAAAATGCATGTTTTCTTAAAACCATTCGAGCTACAGAATTCGTTTTGGCATCGTTGGATAGAGAATTGAATAGTCGATTCAGTCGTAACAACGTTACGGAGAAAATTCGAGTAGTTTTGACCCAGAAAGCGAAATTTGAATATCAAACACTTAGGTTCAAGATTATGCCAAAATTTCATGTTTTCCGGCCCGTTTTTG